TGAAACCCAGGCATCCTGCTGCAGAGCCTTGTTCTTAAATAATTTGCAGAGTGCAGATGCCTGGCTTTACTTGATGATTTCCATTTGCTTGGTAATTTTTGTCCATCCCTTCATTTATACTTCTTTTGATTCACTCATTTAAAGAGAGTCTCTGGTATACGATATTGAGTTGGATTTTGCTTTATAAACCAATTTGAAATGCTGCATGCTTAAAAAATAGATATGCTAAATCCCTTCATATTTCACCAATATATAGTTTATATAGTTCTATGTTGTCTTATCACAGTGGCAGATTTGTGTAACCACCACTGTGATCAAAACACAGACTTATTCCATTACCACAGAGATCTCCCCTGGGCTACCTCTTTATTGCCACCTCTACTCCCCAAAACACTGGCCATCAATAATTTGTCCTCCATCTATAGTTCGTCATTTTGAAGGTGTTGCCTTCAGTTACTATAATAAAGCTCAAATCTGCCATGTTGTTTTTTCTTTCTCTGTTCCTTTCTTCTGTTTTCCAGTTTTATTATTATTTCTTTGCCTTCCTGGAAGTCTCTTGAACGCTTTTGAGAATTCTGTTTTGATTCATCTCTAGTGCTGGCATGTTTTGGTGCACTTTTCCAACTCGGGGCCTTTTGTCAGTCTCTAGACATTCTACTTTCTTCTCTTCATCTTTCCAAGTCTTATGTCCATTTTACATATACTGTTCAGCTTTTTAGCTTCACATAGTGGTAGAAATATAGGAAAATGTGTCCTCTTCATCTTTGCAGAAGTGGAAGTCTCCCTTCATTTTTAAAGTTGCATTCTTTCTTATTCGTCAGACATGTAATGTCTACATATTATTTTTTATTAGTACTTTTGCCAAAGCTTTCCCAGACATCTTTAGGATGATTGAAGCTCATTCCCTAACAGAGAATGCAACCCTGCTATTGCCTTGCTTTTCATGTTGTTTTAAAGAAGTCTGATGACAAACTAATTATCTTGCCTTTCTAAGTTATTCTGTCTTTGTGCCTGAAGGGCCTGAGGATTTTTTTCTTTTTCTTTAATATCTATTGATTTTACTAGTCCATGTCCCAGAATCCATTACTCCAATTTTTCCTAGTACCCTCTGGGCCCTGTCTATGTGTAAATTCAGTTTTTCTTTTAGTTATGGAACTTTTCTGGAATTTCACTTTTTAAAATATTCTATTCTATTATTTCGGTTTTCTTCTTTGGGGATGCCAATCATGGGTATGCTGGACAACCTTCTCCAATTCTATTTCATTTCAACCAGCTTCTCTCTGACCTTTTTTACTTTGTTTTTCATAATTATTTTGACTGATCTATTTTTGTCAACACTCTTTCCACTTATATTTGGAAAGAAAAGATTCTATCCTTTGTCGTATTTCTTTCCCAATCCATTTTCACTGATTTTATTATTTTCTGGGTTTTAAAAATTGTTTACATTCTTTTAATTTTTTTAAATAGACGTGGTAATTGTACATATTCATGGGGCACATAGTGATCAGATGAGGGTAACTGGACGGCATGCACCTGCAGTCACAGCTCCTTAGGAGGATGAGCAGCAGAGTCACGTGAGCCCAAGACTTTGAGTTCAGCCTAAGTAACATAGCAAGACACTGTCTTTATTAAAAATTATTTTTAAAACCTACTTTTTGGGGTTCTTTCTAGGTAGTTGTTGTGTGTGCTTTTTCGGCGGTATATTCTGTTCCTAGTTTTGATATTTCGGATTCAATGTGTTTTTTCATATCTGTAAATTGATTCACTTCAGAGTGTTCCTTTTTACTTGTTTTAGAGTTTTCTTCTGATTTTTGGTTAAATTTCCTGGAGAGAATTTCTGTTAACAGATATGTTTTGATTCTCATTTTCTGTTTTTTAATGACAATCTCATAAATATGTGGCTTGATTTTCTTGATTCTCATTCCTTTCATAAACAGCGTTCCTAATTTAAGAGCTTCCCTTGCTTCTGGTTCTTCCCTCTTCTAGGCAGTTTCTTTTATGGATGATTTGGGCCCTAGGTTGGGGTGGGATGGGGTGAAGGAGGGTATATTTCTCTTAGAGAGTCATTTATCTCCCCTGCTTATGTTCTTCACTGGTTTGTCTCCCAGGGGCACCAGCTCTTCCCTCTCTGCGGAACCTCTCTTCCCTCCCTGCCCTGTGTCCATTACTGTGAATCTCCAGGTCACGGGCTACATTCTGTACTTTGGAATTTAATGTTGGACTTTTGTTTCTGCATTTATTTTGTTTGCACATTTTATAGAGTCTCTCAAATTTACCGTTTGCTAATCTCTCACCAAAGGCAGGGGCTCTGTTGGAATTCGCCTTTTTCTCTACTTAAGGTAAGTTAGAGGCTGTGATGTTTCTCTCTCCTAGTAACACAAAAGACATGGTCATGTGTGGTTTTGTCTGCTCTCTCTCCTTGTTATTCTGTGTTTTCCTTTTGGGAGGGTGTGGTAAGTTTTGAAATCAAGGAGCCTCCTTTGTTCTCTGAACCCAGAAGTGTTCTCTGCCTGGCTTTGTTTTAGATAGTCAGCAAAGCCAACTATTTCTATCAGCTCTAACCCTTAATCAGTGATAGGTTTTGTGAGACAATGTCCCCCAAAGCTCTGGTTATCTCTTTCTTTTTATTGTTTTTATTTCCCTTCAAAGACATCAGGCTGCCAATGATTTTGTCTGCTTACAAAGAACATCCTATTGACTAAGTAATAATTTCATTATTGATCTACTTGTAGCCAATGATATCTTATTTGACAGCTGTATTAGCACAGAGTTGATAAAATAACCACCAAGAAAAGGGGCATTTCATGCAGCTAGAGCTAAGCTCTTGAGAGTAGATGTGCAATATTCATTAAAATTGTTTAACATTAAAAATAGCTTATGTATCCTAGTTACTGCTATGGTAAATGTCTGGAGGATCAGCAGTCTCTAGACTGGGAACCATTGCCCTGCCCATTCCACCTGATTTAATCAGCAAACATTTACAGAAGATGGGGGTTAAAGAGAAGAATATGAAGCCAGCCCATGAAGGAAGTCTATGGACTGGAGGAGACAGATAAGCATTTAATTACAAGATTAGAAGCCCCTTAATAAGTTGATCATGGTAGAGTGGGGTCAAAAGAGGAAAAGGATCAAGTCTGCTTGGGTGAATCAGAAAAGCCTTAATGTGGAGAGAATTACACTAAAGGATCTCCCGGTCTCCTACGCTAGGTTTCCTCTGTGAACAGAAGACTTTTCTCTGCTGCAATGATGAGAAGACTCTCCTACAGAATCCAGAGCTATGTCAGTCACAACCCCTCTGAGTATTTCCAGGATATGAGACAGAAAGACCTCAGTTTCCAAAGAGTAGGTTCCTGTCCTCCATAATGGGAGTGGGGCTGTTTCTCCAGCTCTGTCAGGTGATTCATGTCAGCAGTACCACCTGAGCGCTCGCTTCTGGAGTAAACTAGCAAGTCACCACTCCTAGCACTTCTTCCTTCCAAGAAAGCATGACCCCACTGAGCTGGTTGTTAGTTCACTCTGTTTGATCTAAGGGAACAGGGAGTCCTTTGAGATCCTCTCTTGGGTGGAAGGGCAGGCCCACATCTGCTGATTATCTACCTCCATGCCCCATGGCACCCAACTGTGTCCTGCTGAGAAGCTGTAGAACTCCATGAGCCAGTCTTCAAATCTGACAAGGGCGGAGCCCATGGAGTGAGGGGCTGTGTGGAGACAGGTCTCCCAGTAAGTTCTGTGGCTCATGTGGTGTTCATATTTTCAACTCAGGAGTCTGGTTTTCAGCTTCTCAGGTCTAAGCTTCCTGTATGCTGGGATGGGTGGAAGATGAGTGGGGAGGGGTTGGAGGAGTCAGAGAAGCTACAATTCAGTACTGGGGAGAAATGCCTTCCTCCTGGAAGCTGGACTATATTTGGGTCATGTGTCTGCAGTCTTCCTTTCCATACAGCCTAACAGCTCTTTGAGGAAACATAAGAAGATACCTGCTTCTCCTTCCTATTCAGTCTCAAATCTGTCAGAATTGTAGAGTTGTGGGTAAGAGACCCAAAAAATACACAGGAATCAACAACTCTTCATTTACTGAGGAGTTACAAAGAGCTGGCTATGTGTGTGATGCTGGGGACATACCAATGATATGACACAGTCCTTGCCTTCTTTAAGCTCCCTGCCTGGGGAGAAAGCTAGACAAGGACACAGGAGTTATAAATCATTCGGAATTATTGTAACGCTCTAAGCAGAAATATGGATAGCCAAAAAATCAAGCAGCTTGGCGATCTCCAAGTGCCCCTGCCTGCCTCCCAAACCTCACCTAAAACCACTCTCTGTCTTGGTTACTTTTCACATTTTTCATATTTGTCTTCTCTTTGTTGCTCAAACTGTCTTTTCCAGCTCAGGGCCTCCGCACTTGCTGTAACCTCTACCTAGGACACTCTCCCCAGCTTTGGGGAAGTCTGCCTCATTTTTGCCCTTCAGTTTTTGATTTAAATGCCTCCTCCTCAAAGAGACCATCTCTGTTTCTATACTATCTAAACTCAATGTTCTCAGGCTCAGAAGTTATAGTTTTACTTGATTACTCCATTCTTATCTAAATGTTTTTAACACTGGCAATGGAAAACAGCACCAGATACTTGCTAAAGGCAGCAAGACAGATTTTACTCTGGTTTCTTCAGTAGGAGAGAGAGAGACCAGTATAAACTGAGCCCAATTCCCACCAATACAGGGAAATAAGGTTGTAAAGGGAGGGCAAAGAGGGAATAAAAGTCATCTGTCAGGAAGTGGGAAAACAGAAACCAAAAGAAACTACGGGAGCTACGGAGAAATTGCAGAAAAAAAATTACAGAAGGAGGTAAATAAAGAATGGTTTTGGTGATGTGGGCTGGAATACTGAAATGGTTTGGTGATATGGGCTGGAACAATGTATTTTCTGAGATCTGGCAGCATTGCCTTGTCTCCCCTCCCCTCCCCTCTCCTGTCTTTTTTGCTTGAGACAGTCTCACTCTGTCTTCCAGGCTGGAGTGCAGTGGTGTGATCTCAGATCATTGCAACCTCTACCTCATGGGTTCAAGAAATTCTCCTGCCTCAGACTCCCGAATAGCTGGGACTACAGGCATGTGCCACGACGCCCAGGTAATTTTTGTATTTTTTAAAGCAAAGATGGGGTTTCACTATGTTGGTTAGGCTGGTCTCAAACTCCTGACCTCAAGTAATCCGCTCACCTCAGCCTCCCAAATTGCTGGGATTATAGGTGTGAGCCACCATGCCCAGCCAGCATTGTCTTTTCTTGAGCAAGGACTCAGCCTGGGGCTGAAGTCACCTTAGGGACATAATCTAGTGGAAGCCTGAGGTCAACTTTAGGGACACAACCTAGTGCAGGTGGGAGGCTGGCTGAAGTGTGGTCAAGTCTCTTGGCACAGTGTTCAGGCAAGTCCTTTGTGTATGATTCACAACACATGCATTTATATTTAGCTTTTTTTTTTTTTTAGTCAATATCTGGAGTTCGTTCCTAACTGTAGTTACTCTCAAACAGAACAAGACCTAACCACATTTTAAATTCCTGTTTTTCTTTGGTTTGCATTCAGCTACCATGTGAGATAATCTGAGATTTATCATAGTTATTGAATATTCTAATATTTAAAATGTTGTTATTGTTAGTAGTATGTTTTACTGGTTTTTGTTTTCTCTTTTCTCCTTTTACCTCACATCTTCCTCTTGGATTTGTTTTTGTTTGTTTTGCCAAGTACAATTTCTAGTAACTTTTTCTGTTATAATTCAAAGATGATAAACTATCCAAGTCGGTGAAAAGTGTCTATTTTGTACTTCCATTTTAAGTGGACAATAGTTTTGCTGGGTATAGAAATCTGATCATAATGTTATATTTTCCTCTTGCATCCAGTGTTGTGAATGAGGAGATTTATACCAATATAATTTATATTCCTTTATAAACAAGATTTCTTTCTCCTTGTCTGAAAAGTTTTTGAATTTCCCTTATTGTTTAGTGGTCTAAAACGTTTTAAATATGTCTAAATCTGGAATATTTCACATTCTTTCTGTCCAGAACTTAACAGTCTTTTTAAATCTGAAACTCATGTCTTCCTCAAGCTGAATATGTTTCTCCTATTATTTTTTTTTACTATTTCTTTCTATGTTCTGTGTTCTTTTCTTCTAGAACCCCTCTTAAAAATTTTGATTTGTACATTCAGTACAACTACTGATTTTTCCTTTTATTTCAACAAAGCATCCTATGTCCAAGATCTCTAGTCAATTATTTTTATTTGGATGCAATGTACTCTCTCATCTCTCTATAATTGCTGTATTAATTTGATTTCCTTAGTTCTCAGAACTGGGTTTTTTTTTAGTTTGCTGTCTTCCTTTATTAGACTGACTTTCTTAAATATCTGATGTGTCTGATGTTTTCTGTTGATCTTTGTATTTCTGAGTCTTTGTTTGTCTTTTTGAGAGCTGATCGATATTGCCTGTTTCCTGTGATGATAAAACCAAGGTGAGATGTTTTTCTTACTGGGAGGGTCAGTTGCTAGGCTTCTGGTCACCAAGGCTCCTTGTTTTTGTTGACTATCAGCGGCCACTCGGGGTTATTGTGCCTCTCACGGCCAATGCCTCCACTTAGTGCTCCTGCCTAGGGAGGACCCTTCTGCTATAGCCCTTACAATTGGGTGCTAATGGCAGGAAGAAGAGAGAAGCAAGCCATCTGGTTTATTCTACTGTGATACTGTAGACATCACCTTGACTATCAAGAGCCCCCTAAGGATCTCTCCCGCCCCAGTAGCCAATCCTTAGAAGTTGTGCAGAGTATTTGAAGCTACTCCCAACTGCAAGCAGGCACCCCCTGAGTGTGTTTAGGGCTGAGGCTTCATCAATTATACACATCCCATCTGCTTCAAGCCTCTCAGGAATTCTTTATAATTTCTGGTCTATTTAGAGTAGTTCTTATTTTTCAACATTGTTGTGGATAAGTTTATTTTATGTATTTGGGGCAGGAAAAGAAAATTTTAGCATGTGCTCAGTTTATCACCTTAATACCATCTCCTGTATTTAATAATTTCAGATTTGTTTTTGATATATAGCTGTACAAGAGCTATAAGCATATATCCAATTTATTTGTATGCATTTAAATAATAATAATTAAAATATTGAACACTAATAAATCATCATATTTTAAAAAAATTTTCTTTAGAAGACCATCTATATATTATTCCTGCTTTAGAAATATTGTTCTGGGTTCTTAAATGAGAATATATTTTATCGAGACTTGATTTGAGAATTACAGAGGAAGAGATGAAAAGCAATACCCCTGCCTCAGCCGTGAAGCCTTCACTATAGAAACAACACACGTGCCGATGGTCCCCTGGAATGGCCTCTCTGTTCAGGCCATCACAGTCCATTTGGTCCTGCCAACCTGCTGCCCAAGTCCAACAGATGGAAGGAAGGAAGAGAATACTGAGATGCAGGTGACATGGCTTATGCAATATTTTTATTGTGCCAGTATTCAAATGTATTACATTGATTTGTTCTGACTGACAATAATCTGGATGTTTTGATATCAGTGGGTTGGGTATTACCTTCATTTTACAGACAAGAAAAACAGACACTTAGATGAATCAGGTGACCTTCCCAAGGTCCCACTGTCACTCTTGACCACGAAGTCAAAATCCTTTTCAGGGTATGTCAGTCAGCACCCTAGTAGAACATAGACAGCATACTGAAATTAGGACACCTTAAAAAGGGGCTACTTACAATGATATGGAGAGTGTACAGGAATCACAAGGCAAAATTCCTATCCTTAAGGCTAGTGGAGAGTGGAGCAGTTGCCACCACTAGGCTGATGGAACAAGGGCAGAAATGGTTACTTTGCAGGCGCCTAACCTTTGGTCACTCTGATGAACTCCAATGACCCTGTCTCAAGTTAATGTCTTTAAATGAATTTAATAAAATACTTAGAAAAAGAATACAATGATACTAAATTCCAGTGACTAAAATATGCTAAGTGTGTAGTACATTAACATGAGAGTTTCTTTATTAACACACTATCTAACAAGGCTTGATGGTAGATCTAATAATGACTGCAACTTCAAAGCAGTGCTGAGCATAAAAGACACTCTGATACGCCTGCCCACGCTGTGATGCAATATGAAAATACTCATAACAGCAGTCACAGGCATTGCTGATACCATTAGGATGTGTTGCCTAGCTTGGATTGAAGGAAATGGTCAATTCTGGTTGGAGATTAGTGATTATAAAGATGAATTTTTAATTTCTCTGTTGAAGTTCACACACCTCCTAAACTTTATCTACAGATCTCAGATTAACAACTTCTTGGCTATTGGAAACCAGAAGAAAAGAGTCACGTAAAGAGGTTACTTGAGAGAAACAGCAACCTAAGTTAGAGGGGCAGAGCCAGCACAAATACCACACCACAAGGAGGAACAAATACCCCAACGACCTTCTTCTCTTTCTACCGCGTCTCATGCCTGCTTTCCCCTTGGTGTAGTTCATGCAGATTGGCTTCTCAGGCGAGAGAACAGGGTGAGGAAAGCTGAAGAGTGAATCTGGAGGCAAGCTAAAGCCATCCACTTCTCAACAATCTGCCAATGTGCCAATCTGCCTCTATCTACCCCTCATCCACCTGCTCCCCACCTCTTTGCTCTACGTAGTCAAGAATGACTTATTTCAGTGAGAGTAAGTCAGAAATAAACTGGAAAGTATTCAGCCCCCTCCAGTGTCAAGGGATATTTCTACCCCATGGAAAATTTAGCCTTACCCCTATTCATATCTGATTCTACATTCTCCAGTAATAATTTAAATCTACTTGATGACAGATATTTCAATCAAAATAAAGATATCATTTATATTAGCATTTGCTTAATGTTTTGTATCAGTGGCCATTGTATTTGGTTGTAGGTAACAGAAACCCACAGCCAAAATCCAGTGGTTTAAATGTATCAGACGTTTTGTTTTATTATGCGTCAAGAATCCAGAGGTGGGCAGGGCAGAGATAACTAATATAGTGGCTTATAGCTGTCACAGGGATCCTGTGTCTTTCCTTTTCTGTACTACAACCTTAGCATGTTTCCATCCTTGCAGTGGCGTTATGGTTACAAGGTGGCTGCTGGAACCTCAGCCGGTATACATTAAGGCAAGAAGAAAGGATAGGACAAGAAGAAAGTTTATTTCAGCTGGAGTAGCCCAGAATTTTGAAGCTTTTACAAGAGCTACATGAGAATGGATCAACTGCAAGATGTTTGGTAAGGAGGATGTTGACACTGTAGGAGGAGGGGAATGAAAGCAGGAGGAGGCAGAGAAATACCTGGAACCTCCAGAGAGGGCCAGCAACAGCCTTGGCTGATGCTTCCGGAAGCTTCTGAGAGACAGCAGCTCTTCAGAGTCATCACTGTCAGGCTAAGATGCCTGGGCTTTGTGGCCCCTCATTGACCACTGGGTATGGGCTACCCCAGAAAAAACATGACCTTGGGCAAGGCGGCTTTCCGCAGCTGAGATTAGCCATCAAGGAGGTGACAGCTTCTTTAACATGTGAACTGCAGGAGACACAATTCAGCTCCTAACAGAAAAGATGTGATGAAGATGAGGGGGGTCCTCCCATTTCATCAGAGATCCTCATCCCTGTGGGTTTAGTTTCAGGTGTTTTGATGTTCCTTCATTGGCTTCAAGAAAGTTGTACCCCACCCATAGTAGCCTCGCCATCACCAACCTAACCATGATGACCCAAGTAGGAAGTTCTGGAAGCTTGGGGCCTGGAGCCCAGACAGGAAACAGCTTTCCTCGGAACTACATTCCATCACAGTGTCCGTCCTCATACTAACGCTATGGAAGGTATTAAGGAATCACTGGATGATACAGCTCTCTTGGAGGGAACTGTAATTAAATTGTTCCTGGTATTCATGTATCTTGTATATGTCAGGGTTAAAAGCTGGGCCTCAGATTTAACACATATAGCTTCAAATCTCAACTTTTATACTTCTAAGTGGACAGCTGTCAAATTCTCTCAGTTTTCTCATTTTTACTATAGTTACAATTATATATAAAATATACACATATGAATATATATTTCATAAAACAGATTTTTATAAGTTTTATAATACAGTAGGTTATATATAAATATAGTTATAGTTTCTACATTACTGGGTTATTGCAGATATTAAATAAGGTTGTGCCTTTAAAAGCTACATAAATGACAGTTGTTGTTTGGTAAATGTGTTGAATATGTCCACGTGCTCTACAACATGGATATGGACATAAAGCTGCATTTCCTATCCTAAGGAAATCCGTACTATACGAGGAAAGTAGCCAGAACATTCTGAGGAAGGCAATAAAAGAGCTAAAAACAAGTTTCCAGGAGGACACAAATGGTGCACACTCACACTGACTGGGATGGCTTCATGAAACAAAGGACCTTTTTGCTGAAAAAGCAGGAGAGACAGAAGATATTGAAGAACTTTATAAGCACAGGGGACAGCATATGCAACTCCACAGAGGCACAGGGATCTGGTCTGTGCAGGGAATCAAAATAGGCCATTATGCCAGAGAGATAAAGTGTGGTGAAAGAGGGTAGGGGGCACCGGGAGCAGGTTCTAAATTTCTGCAGTGGGTGGGGTCTGCCTTCAAAGGGAGTGATTCATGTGGGAAACTAGGTCAGAGCTGCTTTTGGTGAAGGCAAGGATTAATTGCAATCTACGTGCTACTGTCTGTATGGAAAAAAAGAACCACAGGACTAATAATAACAGTCCTCCTGTAGGTATGATGCATATTTCCAGCTTGGTTGCTCGTTTACTTACCTGTAGAAGTCACAAGCACCGACATGATTTCTGGCTCCACCTTTTTTTGTGATTCATCATTGGAATTTTGAATAATGAGTCCTTGTCACTCTGAAACCTTACCTAAAGTTAGGTATTAAGGGAGACATCGTGGAAATGGCTGGTGCCACCAACACTCTGATAGCTATATCTTCTCCCTGTTTTTGTTTCATTTTACCTCTTCTTCTTTGTTTTTTTCATCCTTCTTTCCAGTCAAACTTTGATCCTCCTAAAGAGCCTTTGATTAGTCCTTTCAATGTGATTTGACATTAATGAAAGTTTCTCACTGCACATGACAAACTGAGAATCGGAATCCACATTTACTAAGCGATTTCTGTGTGTACTGTTTTCACAGCTGCTCTATCATTTCCATTTTATAGATGAGGAAACTGAACATAAGAAATTCAAGTGCTTTGTTCATCTGTATTCATGTTCTCCTTTTCCTTCCTTGATTTCCCAGCCTACTTGCGTGGAGGTCACATGGTGAGTGCTTATCGGTGGAATGTAAGTAGCAATGACTGTCACCTCCAGCCAAGGTGGTTAAAAGCGGGTAGGCCTTCTCTACACTCTTGCTTTTCCTTAATCACCTGGCTGAATTCAGGGGATACAGTGGAAGACTCTGGGGCTCCTGGAGAAGGCAAAGTCTATGCTGGAAGAACACTGATTTCAAATGATTGGGTAGACTAAAACACCCCCAACCTAATTTCACCTCCTCAGCATACCTCCTCACTGACCTACACTGGGCTACAACATGACCCAACAATAAAACTTTATTGTTTTATGCCACTGAGATTTAAGGATTGTTTGTTATATCAATTAACCTACATTGATTAATAATACATAGCTAGGGCAAGATTTGTGTCAATCAACTAATATTTATGGAATGCCTCCTCTAAAATGGTGTTATCGATGCAATTCAGATCATTATATGATAAATTTCAAGTGAGTTGCCCATACAGACAGTGCATAAGTGACCAAAGTTTGGAGGGAGGGTGAGTTTTGAAGCCTAGGCAGAACATACATGGTGCCCTCTAGGCAGAACATACAGTCACACACAAGGCAAAACCTTCTGTAATGGCCAAGATTCTGCCTCGGGAGCCAGAGATATGAAGTTGAATTCTAGATTTGCTCTTTACTGACTGGATGACCTTGTGGACCCCAAGCCTCAGTTTCCCCATCTGTAAAACAGCAAAAAATACCTATCTTCCAATATTATTATAAAGATTGAATTCAGGGGGTAGGGGGACGAGGAGAGGGAGAGGCTTAGGACAAATAGCTAATTTATGTGGAGCTTAAAACCTAGAGGATGGGTTGATAGGTGCAGCCAACCACCTTGGCACACATATACCTATGTAACAAACTTGCACTATCTGCGTTTGTATCCTGGAACTTAAAGTGAAATTAAAAAAAAAAAAAACAGATTAAATGACATTTTGTGTATTAAGTAAAAATAAGGGGACATCCTTGATAAATAATAATTATTATCACTATTATCAGTGTTATAAGGAGAAATTCATTTTCTCACTGGTTTAGACCCAAACAAATCAAATACCTATCTTGACCATAAGTATTTGCATCTATGCTGTTGGATAATAGCATGACTACAGCTACCTCATTTTATTTTATCTAAGAATAATCATAACCTGAATCTAAAATTTACGGTAGTGCGTGCCTGTAATCCCAGCTACTCAGGAGGCTGAGGCAGGAGAATTGCCTGAACCCAGGAGACAGAGGTTGCGGTGAGCCAAGATCGCGCCATTGCACTCCAGCCTGGGTAACAAGAGTGAAACTCTGTCAAAAAAAAAAAAAAAAAAAAAAGATGTCACATACTTTGGACCTCCACTAATTCTGTCTTCTTACCTTGGATTTACAGTTTATTTCATTACAAAAAACAGTCATTTGACGAGTGGTCCTGGCCAAGAGTGCAACTGTTTCTTCTTGGTGTGCACATTGTCACGCGGAGTGAGTGGTTTTACTCTGTCACTTCAATTCATAAGATACTAGCGCTGACAGGGGCTTTGGAGGACATCATATCCAACCTATCATTTTACATGAGGAGGAAACTGAGGCCCAGATGTAGTGCATCACAGATGTCCACATGCATGGTTTTATTTTTTTTTCTCTCCCAGGCCTGAAGGGCTCTAGCAGCTTAACTAAATGGCCCAAGTCTCACCCACAGGGCTTGACAGAACTTCTGTTAATCAAATCACATGAGAATTGAGGTGCCATAGCCAATCAAATTTTCTGATCCAGTAAATTAACAGAGAATATATTCTTTATATGTATTTTCCCCCTAATATACAATAGTTCCCTTTTCCTGACTTGTTAGGACAGTCTTGTGAACAAACTCAAGTGTGTCTTTAGTTAGCAGTGAAAGTAACCTAGTCTATCTAAGACCCACTTAGTCTATCTTGTTCATTTTTCGGATGAAAACAAAAAGATTTTATAATTGTTGGCTGGGTTCACTGGCTCACGTCTGTAATCCCAGCACTTTGGGAGGTGAGGCAGGTGGATCACCTGGGGTCTGGAGTTTGAGACCAGCCTGGCCAACATGGTGAAACCCATGTCTACTAAAAATACAAAATATTAGCCAGGTGTGGTGGCGGGCGCCTGTAATTCCAGCTACTCGGGAGGCTAAGGTAGGAGAATCCCTTGAAGCCTTGACATGAGGGGGGCTGGGGCGGGGGGTGCAGAGGTTGAGGTGAGCCAAGATTGTGCCATTGCACTCCCGCCTAGGCAACAACAGTAAAACTCCATCTCAAAAAAAGAAAAAAAAATTATAATTATCATACAATGTAATCTTTACAATGACCTTTCAAAAAAATTTATTTCCTTCATGATATAGATGACAGAACTAAAACTCCTAACTATTGAATGACCTCCTCTGGATCATAGCACTCATAATACAGACAGTGACACAGGCACCAAACCCAGTTCACTGTCTGTCTGGGCTTACAGTTAGATTGCATTTCCCAGTTGGGTTTGGCCATATAACTGAATTCTCACCAGTGGAGTGTAAGCAGAAGGCATCCATGCCAGTTCCCACACATGTTCCTCCATGCTCTCTCCCTTTCCAGCTGGCTAGAATGGAGATGAATCCCAGGGTGAACCTGGAAGCCATGAATAAAAAGTCTGCAAGCACCAGATAAATAGAGCCTGAGTTCCTGAGTCACTGCCAGAGGAGGATGGCCACCTCCTGGTCGATACTACTTGTTGTAGACTGTCTGTAATGAGAAATAAACTTCTTTCATATTTGAACCCTTGTAAACTTGGGGATTTATGTGCTGAAGCAGCAAATATGTCCTTAATGCAAAGCTTGCTAACAGCAGAACTACAGATGCTTACTGCGGGCTAGGCACTATGTTTGTGATAAAAGATAGGAACATGAGTTCCGATAGTTTGGGTCCTTAAGAAGCATTAAGCACAGCTGGGTTCTGAGATATGGACAGAAATAGCATAATATGAAATTGAAATTTTTTTAAAAAAGGTTCTAAAGAAAGGTAAATATGAAAGAACTTAGGAATCCAAAGAAGAAATAAGTCATGCTGTGGTATAAAGAGGAGTGATTTGGGGGAGGAAGATGGGAATTTTGGACAGGGAGGATGGGTTGGTTGCATGCACTGTTGGAACTCGTAGGAAACCAGAAAAAGCCTGGCACAGTGAGCTGTTTAGTGTGGTGGAAAAGGGATACACAAACAAATAAAATGGTAGGATAAAGCTCCATCATGAAAGATGCTAATGCCAAGTTAATAACTTTGAGTATTGTTTACAAGTTTGGCTAATGCTTGTCACCAACGCCTGCTGGCTGAGAAATCTTGAAAATGAATGGCATGCCATGCCCTCAGAGTGTGACGATAACCGCTGGAGCTCAGAACACAGGGAGTTTTCATGTCTGAGAGCTGGCTCCCTAGTCTGCGCTAGATAGAGAGCAGAGGTGGGCTGAGAGTGTGGAGAAACAGCATTCAGAAACGGCCCACACTGGCAAGTTTCTGGGCTCCGATCCAAGTTGGGAGGAAAATGATTTGATGAGCTTTTCAATCCTGTTCCATTTCAGCCTTGCTCAGGGGACGTATGTTGAGGGTCTTTTTTCTTCCAGAAGTACATATGGAAGTGGCAAGGTTGGTGTTTGATGGTGTGACAGAGAAAGCCACACTGGGGAAATGGTGTGC